GTCCACTTATTTTTCTGTGTGCAAACAGATTTTCATAGCACCATTTGCAACTCTAGCGTCTCCATTAACAGCAGGAAATTAACCATTTTCAAATGTCATTGAGGTAAATTGAAAGCATTTGAAATGACTTCATATTATCTCTCAGCCAAGAAGCCGGAATTGGCATTTGAGTGCAAATCTCTATTCCAGTTGCTGATCCAGATCTCAACAATTACATCCCTTATTTTTAAATATTCACCCCACAAATCAATTCCAGATCAGTGAGTTAGACATGCACCATGATTGAATAAGTACCCAGTGAGAATTAAGACTCATGCAGAACTTCCCCAAGTTCCCATCAAAGTGTCAGACAGTCACACAGATACGCAGACACTGTACTATACCATATTGACTATAGATTTTATCATCATTTTCTCCTCGGCACCCGCCTCGCCTTTTCTTATCTTTACCACAGGTACCTCCATTACTCTGATGGCCTGTAAAAATCAACCAGTAGGAAGTGGATGTCAAACACTGGCATTTAGATGAAGAGCATTTTTAAAAAAAACAAAACAAACAAAAAAACATGAGAAGGACAGAAGGTTGAGACAGAAGACAAATGCATACAAATTAACCCCACATGAGGAAAAACAGAGAGCAAGGCTGGGTTTATGGAAGCAGCAAGGAGCAACTGAGGAAAAGACAGGGCGGAGTCTGTGTCCTTGCAAAGACAGTGGCTTCAAACAAATATCAGGCTCCAGAGGGGGTAGGCAGGGTGGAAGAAGAAACTTCAGTTAAAAATTAATATAAAGTTCAAAGCCCTATGGGAGGAGGAGAGAGGAGGAGGACAGAAACAGTAAAGACATTGTGGTGGTGGGGGCCTTGTTCTGTGGGATGACTGAGCAATGGCGGCGGGCGGTCAGGCAGGCAATCGGGAGTGCTCTGATGGAGCTGTTGGCAGATGTCTTTGGATGTGGCTGCGCTACAGGATTGGCAGGGAGAAATAGATGATTTAAGAAAGGAGCCTTCAAAAGTGACAGGGCTCAGGAGACCAGGGAAGGAAGTCATTCTAGCAGCACTTAGTCTACAGCCACGCCTCCAAATCACCTTCATATGGTGCTACTCAAAGACTCTGCTATTTCAACTATGCAGCTTACTGAAGCAGACACAAACATGCCCTAGACACATAAATATTCCTATATTCACATTTTTACGGGGTACAGCGTTTTGTTTATTCAACATATTTTTGTTTTGTTAAAAGGAATTTAAATACGACTCCAGGCTTTGCTTGGTTCGGCACACATGAAAAAAATACAGAATATTTAAATCCAACATGGACTAACTGGTCACAAATTATTATTTTTTTTTTTTTTTTAAATGAGTGCACACCCAGAGTTGTATATGAAAATGAATGGGTAAGCCAGGTATGTACTTGGAGCTTAAATAAACAGTACTGTTTATTTAACAGTACTAACCATGGCAACTTATGAAAACATAACCTTGTCTAACTGGATTATGTTCACAGTTACCGTTTGAAATCAACTTGCAGCAATACATTTTCAGTAATTTTTTTTTTAAAGTGTGCTCCAAGTGTAACAAAGATTCTTTCCTGAGGAAACAGCTTACAATTTAAACAAAGATCAGATTTCCATGGCAGAAGCTTAAGACATAACATGTAAATAACATTTTTTTAGTAGTAAAGTGAAACCGAGTGTTAAAAACAATAAAACCGTCCACTGCGCCTACACTCCATGTTTTTCGTGTTTTTGACTTCACCAGCACCCCACGCCCCTCCAAACATATATCCTTTGTAAAGAAATCCACTGTTGCCCCCTTTCCTGTAGTCAGACTTTTTAACTAATTATTCTACAACTGCATAGTGTCATCAGGCAACACGCTGCTGGTTTTATGGAGGACAGCACGCAAGCAACTCTGCATAGGTCACATACACAGAATCCACAAAGAAAAGCCAACTTTGATGAACTTGTATCAGAGTACACGCCTCTGGTAATGCGTTTAAAACCAATTAAAACCTATTCCTCAACTGCCTCTTTATCATTAATGATTCATTGCTTGCAAAAATGTCCTAAAATGAATCATGTTTTGTTTTTTTTAAACAAATGCAACAGTCAGTTAATATGACATTTAGCAATTGAGCATTCTATTGATTATTCCATTGATTAATTAGATAAAAAAAATACCTTTGTCTAATTAGTGAACAATAATAAACATTCAAAAGAGAAAATACACAGGGTTTTGTTTTTTTTGTTTTTTAAATTAACTGGCTATTGATTTCCATTTTAACACTTGCAAGTTTACCTGTGTACAAAATCAGCTTTTTAGAGCTGAGGGGTAAAAACGTAAACCCTTTAATTACATTTATGAGCCACATTGAATTTTGTTTTTAAAGAAAACATTTTCTTAAATGCAAAAATATATAAGCTCTAAGACAGCCCAAGGTCAAAGTAAAATAAAATAAGACATACAAGCAACCTAAACTAAGGGTTAAAAAATGATTTATTTATTTTTAATTACCTTTACTCTGTCTTCTTAATAGATTTGGCTAGTGTTGATGTGAGTTTGTGTCTATAAGCCTTTAAAGGAGAATGTGATGGTTGCAGTGACTAAAACTGAGCATATCAGCATTTTGACATTTGCCCTGTGCTTTGATGCAAACTTTTGTTCTGCTGGAAACAAGACATTAAACTGACGTTCAATATAACGATATATATCGGATGACGAAACTACTCATTTTACGCTATCGTTTGTTTCGTGGTGTCGCAAAATAAACTGTTTATGGCAATATTTTTTCATCCTTTTGATGGTCACTGTAGTGGCTATATTCATTTCTTCTTTTTCCCTTTCTCTTATATTTAACATAACCACACTACTGACGGACAAGCGCCTGTTTTATGCGTTGTGGTTAGCAACAACGACGGTAACACCATCGCGTGTCCGCTTGTTTATGTTCCACATAAACCTTTCACAATAAAGCTCAAGATCCTGTTGAGACTTTTCAAAATAAACTGAATCACGTGAAAGAGCAGATTATTTACGGATGAGAATAAAAAAAAAGAGCTGCCAGGTGCTAAAAAATAAACCTTAGACTCAAACGTTAGAGCAGGCTTTTCCCCGCAGCACGCCGTGTAATAAATCCTCACAAAGAAAACGGCGGCTGTTACAACTTATGTCTAAAAATGTATCGTTTCATGCATCGGTTAAAACACTCGACTCCAGGTACACTACGCGCAGCTGGAAACACTTACCTCAAGTCGAGCTGCCCGAGATTCACATAATTTACAGAAAATGTTACATATTTGTGATTTATATCGTTATCTGAAAAATGTTATAAAATCCTTGAAATAAATATGGTCTAGTTCACCCACCTTTAGACTCTCCCCTTTTTGTTCTGCTTACAGGTATTTCTGCCATGTAAAATTGCATGGCTGCTGTCAGCCTTCAGCAAGCTGCCTAATTTTACTACAAACGGCAATGGATTGGAGTATTTACAAAGTTCACGTTTCTTTATGTTAGAGTTTATTAAACAGTTGGTTTATTGAAGGATTTCACAGTAATTAATAGGGATGACAAAAACAAGCGCTATCATTTGGGCACTAGAAAAACTCCACCGGAGTTACCGCCTAACAGCTTTGCTTCTTTGCTCTTCGCTGTGTGTATACAGACCCTGGTTCCACATTAAATTATGACAACATTATGGACAAGGCTGCTTGATAAATCGTTTCAGCTCAAATAACAATATTACGCTAGTTTTAAAATAGAAGACAAAAGACAACAAGTCATTCATTAATAGATAAAAGTGGTCAGAACACCCTCAGCTACAGTTACACAGTACTGTAATGTGAATTTACACAGTAAATATGCAGTATATGAACCAGTTAATGACATGCCATGTTTCTTGATTTGTGCATAATTACATAGAATAAATCTAATTAAACAGACGCGTATAGTCTGGTGCCACAATTATTTGCATTTTCGAGACATCTATAGGACCCATCCATCATGTTCCAATTTGTGCTGTACCAGAAGACTTTCTAATCTAAGAAATCTGATATTTGGATCAATTACAAGGCCATTCTGCCAAACATTTCAGCTAACACCACACATTGACAAAAGTCTAGAGGATTCATTGTATTGGCCTGTGACCTACTTTGTTTGTTTGTTTTTTAAAAAACACAGAACAGTGATGTTGACCAGCTCAGATCATGGAGGTCTGCAACCTTAATAGATGCACAGTGGAAGTGTAAGGTTGAGAGAAAACGATGTACCTGCAGTGCTTTGGCCAGCTCTCTATTTCTGCCTGCTTCTCCCACCAGAACAACCCGTGTCTCCACTTTTGGCAGCATATCTGACAGAGATGAACAGAATAGAGCCAGAGTGAGCAACAGGAAAATGGAAAGGAGAATCAAGAACAACTGAACACACACACATACACACAAAGCAGAATGTGGAACCATGTGATAGCGACTGATCAAGGCAGCAGGTTGTCTCTGGGGAGAAGAAAAGTTGTTGTTTTTGTCTTCCGTTCTCATTTTGAGTGACAGTCAAACAAGCCTAAAATGAACTCAGTTGCAGCTTATTATCAGTGTCTGATCCAAACCCTGACAGTTACCTGTACCCAACCTCCAGCCATATAAAAATAAATAAATAAATAAATAAAAATCAACCAGGAAATCATTAATTATTATTATTTGCAAGTTTTCATTATTGCAGCTTTTCAAAAAAAGTCATATTTAACAGTCAAATGAATCCCTTTAGGAAAATTCAGGAGTCCGTAGGTAACTTTGGAGGAAGAACAACCGGTTCTATTAAAACCAATACACTGGCTGGTGGATTGCTCACTGCAATCACCAGCATCAATATGGTGCCTAAGCCATTTATACTTGTGACTGGGGTACTTAAGTCACTACAGTTTCTCCTAAATTTCATGTGGTACTGGAAAGAAAAAAAACAAAACAAAACATTGGAATAGAAATATTCTCCATTAGTGCCCAGATCTGCTTCTGTATCTAGAAATCTCTAGGCTCCCACACTGACATATCATAGTCACGCCTCAAGCATGTCCTTAGTATGCATACTGTTTGTGCCAAGTTACAGAAACTGGGTGATATGCCAAGCACCAGAAGTAATGGAGCCACTTTCGGTGTTTGCTTTGATGTGAAAGGCTGACAGTGGTGAGTAAATTGTAATAAACGGAAATGTGAACAGATGAGCCACAAAAAATAAAATGAACTAAATAAATAAAAAACATAAGCACTTGCTCTCCTGAGGTAATGTTGAGGTTCCCTGGCAAATGTACTGAGTGGGCCAGGCCAAGTTTCGCTTATTTTCGCATAACCGTCGGGTGTGGTTTGGCACACAGATGCCTTATAAAGACGATCAAAAACAGATGTTGCTTTAGTGAGTAGTTTAGAGGAAAGATTTTCTGATTTCTTGAAAACTGTCTTTCCTCAAATTTTCAAAAACAGAAACAAAGATGTGAGGATAGGACAGGAGGATAGGAGGTTTAAGACTTAACAGAACTACCCTGTGTACACAGTAATAGTTTCACACAGTACCTGAGGCATAACACAACAGCTAAGGAGGTGTTCATTTAACATTAGTTATTTTAAACTGTGACTCGTGTAAATTAATTTTGAGTACTTAAAAGTAATTTTAATATTTTGCCCATGCATTTGTCATCAAGTAGGCTAAACTAAAGAGCAAAAAAAAAAAAAACAACCTTTGACAGGATCAAAGTCCAGGTAATGGGAAAATCTTACCTACTCCATGGGAACTAAACAGTACAATTTTTTTTTCAGTGATGTTGTATTTAAATGGTTACACTAGCTGAAACTAAAGTGGCAACTGAGTGAAGTGAATGCATCAATAAATCCAAGATTAAGTCTCTAGGACTAGTGACTTTTGCCTTTGTTTTTCTACAGCATAATGTTAACTATAAGATTTCTTTGTTGTAACCAAAGACTTGATTTGGAGAAAAAACTGAAGATCACTTAGCTGCATTTTGACTTTGAGAGTCTGTTTTAGAAATTTAGGCAAGGAAGAAAAAAAAGAAAGTATGCACTGACCTTCCCCATCTTCACATCCCATGCCCAGAAATACATGATCCTTGGTGGTTTCAGCAATCCTGGAATCATAGACCGAAGAATCCACCAACAGACTCCGAGCTGTCCCTAAAGTCAATATGCTGCTGTCAGCCATGGCAGGAACCTAAGGAGGCACCAAACTTTCAGAAGTTACAGGGTAGAACAGAGGCACAGAGGGACAACACAACGAGGCAGAAAGGCTAGAGAAAAGAGGTATACCAACTAGGAAAGTAAGAAGAAAGATGTCAACTGAAGAAAGTGGCACAACTTGTCACGATTTCAGACACTAGAAGTGCTTGTTAAGTTCAACTCTAGGCAATGCAACATATTTGGACAAAACTGGCATAAAAGCTGTTAACAGTGAAACTTCTTCTTTATAAAAGTTGTAAGCAATTAAGGAAATATTATTAAAAACGGAATCCAATGTTAGTGTTTATTGCAAGAGGACAAAAAGTATCGTGACAACAATCCCTTTCAAACCCACACCGTTAAACACATATTTTATAAAGAAGCTTCATTTTTCTAGCTCTTGCGTTTAAATCTAAATTTAAACCCATGAGCTAGAAAAATAGCATAGTTCAAATTACTGCAGAATAAGCCTAACAACTCAAAGGAAGATGATATCCAAAAAAGGGCTAGCTCAATTAACGTTAGCTATTTACGCTACTAACGTTTAATATTTAACATGGCGCCTCTCAAAAAGTACAGTAACAAAAAGACAGACTTACCGACTGTTTTGATGCCTTCTAAAAAAAAAAAAACTAGCTAATGAATCTCAACTGGCCGCTGAATCAGTAATATTTAACAAGCTTTCTAGCTGACCTAGCTAGCCACCAAGCTAGTAAGTCAACAACACAATTAAGAACTCGTCACAATTCCTCTTCGGTTCAAAACGCTCTTTAAAACAGCTGTAACATCGCTCCGTAAAATCACAGGTCTAGTATCAATGCATGTTGGTCTTTATAAATGACAATAGTCCAAAATGACTACTTCAGTTTGTTGACAGCTAACTACTCGACACTATTGCAGAGACGGTGTCAGTGTGCTGCTCCAGCTCAATTCAAAAAGCAAGGCAAACAACAGGACAGCGCGCTGATTGGGTAAGAGTGACAGGAAGCTCAACGCTTCCGTCCAGCGAGGCCCCTGATTGGTCCGCTCATTCAAATAACGATGCGCACAACAGCAGTATGCAGACAGTCTGCACTCTGCATACACCCAGTGATGTTACATTCAGGTTCCATGGGAAACTGAATCGCTTACAAAAAAGAAGGTTCAAAGTCTCTTTCTCTCTCGCTCTCTCTCCACATAGGTTGTGTTGGTTTTTAATTTAAGAAATAAACCTGAACCGTTGCTTCCAAAATTTTTTTTTTTAATTCTCTGCAGATCCTGATTATTTATTCCAGCATTTTTTTTAAAATATTCCAAAGCAGTACATGGGACATGTGATAGGCCTACTGCTGACATACAAATATTAGCTAAACAGTTTAAACATAACCCACTAATAATGACAACAAATTTTAATGTGAAATGCATTAATTTAATGTGTTCATGCATACCTACACAGCTGTTGGTTTCCTGTGCAGTCCTGAAAATGCTTTTGTTGTTGTTGCTGTTTTGTTTTGGGGGTTTTTGCTATTTTATTCTTAACATAGCAGAATGATCTAAAACAACACACCCTGTTGCATTTATGCTGGTGACTATAACCCATGGGTGTATCCTATATCAAAATCCAGCTCTGTAATAAAATATGTGTGAAATGTTTGTAATTCTCCTTTCACACTTTTGCTTGCTCTCCATTATGAGAGAGAGAAAAAGAAAAGCAATGCAAAAGTGTTCACACTGACAGTGAACTCTTCCCAGGCAAATACTAACCCCTATGCCTTAGCTCCTTAGGTTAGGCTCATACATATGCACACACAAATACACAAATCCATCCTCATAAGTGCACAGTCCAACATATTTATTTTATGCTTTATACATAAGTATCATATGCAGCATGTCACACTTTTTAAGCTATTATTATTTTAAGAGTTAACTTGTTTTCATAATTATTCCAAGGTAATCCAAAGAACTCTCCTCTGGGACTGCCTTGGATGTGGGTTTGTGGGGTTTATATAGCCATACTCAAAATGGTGTGGATATTTGGTTAATCTTTGTGGGTCTCGACAACAGTACACAGACCACCGACAACCTGAAGGAACTATCTGGGTAATCTGACACTACTTCCTCTGGTTATAAAAGATACAAAAGAGCCATTAGCTAAGCAGAAAAAAGCAAAACTCATAGCAGTAATGATTCAGGAAACTCTTATAGGACCATTAGACAGGAAAGTGGATCATTCCATTGATAGAAATGATGTGGTTGTTGTGTTAGCACTTTCAAGTGTTCCCAGTGGCCTTTAAAAATATGATGGGGTTTTTTAGGATAAAAGAATAAAATAAAATAATTAGTAAATCCTCAAGAAAGTAGCTTTGTGTGCTACATGGTTCCAAATCTGCAACTCCATCCACTCTCATCTGATGACTCGGGACAACAGCAAATATTTTGGGGCTTAGGTACAGCCAGCGCATATCTTGACTAACGAGTATACAAGTATAATTCATTGTCCACAGTTTAATGTTGATGAAAGTAAAGTTGAAGAAAACTGATGAAAAGCTGAATCATTGTCATGATAAATGATGGTTTTGAAATTGCATATTGGCCGGTCTTCTTCCTTTGCTCTACACACAGACTATTTGCCTGCGGGCACTCAAAGCCTGAAAATGTAATTTGTCAGTTATACTCAGACAGCAAACAGACCACAAATGGAAATGAAGAAAGGCTTTGGTTACAAAAATCGTGTCTCTTGTCTATGGATATAGTATCTGCATATGTATATGCAGACATACATGGTACCCAAAGAATGTTATATATCCCTTTCATTTTTCATTGAAGGGGACAACGCTCATTTCTCAGCAGAAAAATAACTGATTTATCTTTTGCCGGTGGCCTTCTTTTAAAAAACCTCCAATGAAATTAAATTGTTAACCTTTACATCCACATTGTTTTAAAACATATTGGGAGCAAAATATGCATTAACTGTCATTTGTGAGGATTTCCACTTTGGAATGAAATTATGCCGACTGCACTCCCAAATATACAGATCCAGACAGTCAAGGTTTTCTACACAATAAACTAGGGACAAGCCTGTAGAACCCTATAGAACTAATATTGAGCTAATATTATATCCACACATACTAAAGGGTGCAAAGATACAGAGTTACATCCAAATCCTTTAACATATGAAATGAACATTTTTATCAAAAACAAAATCTAATTGATGAGTTAGATTTTCAGGGATTTCTTCAACGTGAGGAGAGGAACTCTAACCTGAACCACTACTGATTCATTATTGATAAGAGCACACTCACTGACAGCAAAACACTTTGCAAATTAGCTTTGCTTTGCTTGGGTTTCCACCCACAATATACTACTTAGCTGTTTTAGCATAACATTGGATTTGTTCCAGTGACTTATAACCACAATACGATTCCTCTTAAAAAGTAGCAACAACTAACATGAATGAACTGTGTTTGAACTATGCACCACATCTTTCTTTCCCTTGGAAAACAAATTTAAATACATTTATTTTATATTTTTCCCAATGAAATGTTCAGACTCCTTCTCTCTCTCTCTCTCTCTCACACACACACACACACACACACACACACACACACACACACACACACACACATCAGTGGCCCTTTGGCTAGCAGCACTTGGTCTGGAAGACAGTGAAGACAGTGACTTCCAGCAATTCCTTTGTTTTTCTTCCACTGCTTTGACTTTTGTGAGAGCCTTAGTATGCTTTTCGCATTCCTGAGCTGTCGAACCACTCCTGCAGTCATCTAACTGATGCACACACATTCGGTCTTTGTCTTTCTGTATTTAGCCCTCAGGAGGTTCACGCCACAGAACAAAGCTTTGTCAGGACCTTATCTTCTTCTATGCAGCTTTGTCTTCCTCAAACCTTTAAAGTTCAAGCTCAGTCCCCTCTCTTTAGTGCTCTGTCACCCACAACCTAAGTACTTCATTATGAACGCACACCTACATATTCAGACAGACAGGTTGTTTTCAGTGTTTCTGAAACCGCTGTTCTCCTGTGGGGGAAAAAAAAATCTGTGGGTGGCAGTTCTGTGGAGGGATTGTTGATAGCAGAGGTTTCCAGGCTGGTATAGGTGACAGAAAGGTAACTACTTATTGGGATTGTGGTGAACAAAAAACAGAAAAATGTTGTAGCTAGAGGTGTGTGGGCTATAACAGCAGAAGACCACTTTATGCAAAATAGACAATTATTTAAAAAATGAATATCACAGTGCACTGAAGATGTGAAGCTAGAGGCCGAGACCATAAACTTACAGAAAAATGTTTTCCTGATAGTTTTCTTATTTATGATTTCTACATTCACTTTATTAAGTGCACCTTGCTAGTACTGGGTGAGAACCTCTTTTGCCAGAACTGTTTGAATCCACAGAGTTGTCTGTGAATTCAAGAAGGTGCTAGAAACATTCATCAGAAAGTTTCGTCCATGTTCGTCCGCATCCCAAAGATGCTCTATTGGAATGCGATCTTGTTATTGTGGAGGTCATTTGCAGCAGCCATCAGGGGATTAGTAAACTGTAGTCATAAATAGATGGGGATGGTCTGCAACAATACTCAAGTGGGATCTAGCATTTCAAAAAATTCTCAGTTGCTGTGTACCAAGAAAATATGCCCTACACCATCACACCACCAACAAGTGTAACCATTGATACAATGCAGGATGGATCCATGCTGTCATCTTGTTTATGTCAAATTCAAGGTCTACCATCCAAATGTTGTAGCAGAAATCAAGACTCATCAGGCTAGGCAATATCTTTTCAAACTTTACTGTCCAATTTTTAGCTGACATGAGGGTCACATGGTGCGGTCTTCTAATTGTCTCTTCTGTTGTGCAGCCAGAGAACTTCTTCTGCATGTCTTAGTTGTAACAGTTACAGTATTTGTGTTGCTTTCTTGTCAGCTCAAAGCAGCCTTATCATTCACCTCTGATTTCTAAGAATATTGAATATTTTCTGTGAACCCTAGAGATAGTTGTGTAGGTCACACCAGCTGTTTGGCACCAACAACCATGTCACGATCAAAGTCACTTACATGGCTTTTTCTCCCTGTTCTGATGCTGCTCTTTAGTTTCAGCCATTTTTTTTCGACCATGTGTACATGCCTAAATTAAGCAAGCTGCTAAATGGCTTATTAGATACTTGCACTAAAAAGCAGATGAACTATTACTGGGAATTAGAAAGCATTCAGATAATGATTTATTAGTTTTAATAAGAAGAATTGATCGAGACTATGTTCAAGATGTATATTGAATGTTAAATATAAGCAATATACACACTTTAGTTGGTTTCTTTCTTTATGTTTCCTGCATAATGCATGTTTTTAGAAGACACCCACGAGCACTCTGATAAAAATGGTAACCTAACTTAATTCCATGTCAATGTCTGAGGCCAGAAAGACAATCTGGAGCATTTAAGACTTTAAAACACTCATCTTATCTCTTTAAATTATGTTTTCATCTAGGGGTAGTGAATAGGAAAAAAAAGAGTTCACACCAGTCAAATACAGAGAGAATACATTATGCTTCAAGTCTAACATTAATAGCCTGCTCTCTTCCTCTTGAAGGGGGATCAGAGACTCAGTTTGAATGATAATGATGCAATGCCAACCCTCCACCATACCTGAGAAGCCACCGATCACTGACAACAGAATAGAAATAAACCAGGGCTTTTCATGATGCTTGTATTTCATCACATACTTTAATGTGTGAAGAGTGAAGATACTGCCTGTTTTATCTCTTTGTCTTTCTCTTTAACAACCCAACTTGCAATAATTGCCTTTCATTTCAATACAGCCTTAAATCATTTTAATACAGTCTTAAATCAAAATAAAACAAGCTGCGATGACAAGCAGAGGATTCTTCTCTGACAGCCCCTGAATTCACCGCCTGCTGGCACAGACTTTAATAACATCTTGTTTGAACACCCATCTTTTCTTCACACGAGTCTTGTCTGGTAGATCGGGAACATGTTGAGGTGTTGGAAATCACATCTCCTTTATATTCTCACTGTGCCTTTTTTCCCTTAGTCTCAGGGCTTATGTTTGCTGAATTATTAGTCTACAGGGTTCAATCTTCGGTTCAACCGATAACAAAGAGGCTGTATCCA